AAAACCTAGAGATACCTTATGACTGTCTACTCTCTTCAGTTGTGCGGTATCTTAAGTGTTTTTCATCAAATTCGTCGGATAAAAGCGCGTAAAACAGGTTCGAAAGAGATGCTATATTATTTGTAGACTCCCTTAAGTGGTTTCGGATCAAATACCAAAACAAGAAAAAGCAAAAAAGGTTTAAGAAAAAAAAGAAAATAATAAAAACTGTACCCAAGTGCCGCAAAATAATGAGGTTCATTTATTAAAAACGAAAATAATTGTATACCGTGCCTATTCTCACATCGTGAAGCTTCGATTTGTTGTCCCGTCGCAATCAAAATACTCTTGTAAAGAAACGAATGGTATTTATCGGTGCACGTATGTGATTTTTCTGTTTCCATACTATTTCTAACGATAATCAAAAAATCATGTATTTTTCCTGCTCCACTTCGTGAACTCGTATGAATTTCGTAATAGAAAAATAGAAATTTTCAAGCGTAATAAAACGTCTTCCGTTACTTACTGCGATACAGTCTTTTTATGTAGTCGGACACATTTTTCTTTTTTCTGTTCAATTATTTAATGAAACTTGCTATACGTTTTTAATGAATAAGAAAGTTAGTTTCGATTAATGGGAGTCTTTGAGTTTTTCAAGAATCTTAGTTGTACCGACGTATATATTGTCGTCGATATATCGATATCGATGATTTCGATGTATCACATCTAACGTGATTCGACACGTGCAAAACCAACAACAGAACCAAGAGAAAAGAGCGGTACGTGTATCGTGTTATGTTATAAGAGATTAATATTGTGATTATTGTTAACACTTGTTTCTTTTTTCTGTAACTCGCGTATTTTACTTGATTTGTTGTCGGTATTTAGCTTTAACCGTGATACAAATATAAAGAGATGTTATCATTTACAAACATGTTTTCATTAAGGTTACTTTGTGTGCCGTATATCATATATGTCTTTCTTTTTCTATCTCTTGATTATCTCTCTTTGATGAGACGATATCCTATTCGAAAATGGACTGTATCGGGTGTGGTTGGTGCTAGTAATTTTCTGAACTAGTGAGAGAAATGTGTGCCAATCTGTATCTTTCAATTACGAATTCTACATGATGAAAGTTTCACTTTCCTATTAGGAATTTAAACATACAGTAGTGATGTTTAAAAGGAGAAGAATGTAGAAAAAGGACAGACGTTATGTTCTTCGGATGGTATAGGTGCACTGGGATTGTAATAGAATATCGAAAACTGCGTTACATTTATATTTCAAGCTTACAAACATCAACAACATAGTTTTTCCACTTTTATCCTTTAAATTGTAACGTCTCCTTATTGTTGCTTTCGTTTCTCTAAGCATACAGAGTTACCACAAGTTTTCACTATTTTCTAATTACATTATATATTCACTTGTGTCCTGAGATGCGACTGACAATTATTAACGCCCTCTCGTCTCATTTTCTGTAAATACAAAAAATCTCCAAAGGCTACACACGCGACGATAATTTATTAATTTCGCCGTTGGAACAACGATTTTTACACACTTCCTTTTTAAATTTTCTCTTCAATCGTGAAAAAGCGTCGAAAGTCAAATTATACATATATATAAATATATTGACGGATGCCACTAGATGAATAATCATATATTTCTCTATAAAACGAAGCTACATACTATTTTGCCGTTTTATATTGTACTCTGTATGTATATATATACATACCATGCAAGTGTGTATACATATATAAAAGAAAGAATATTCTGTACAACGATACACAGCGTTCACAGTATAAAACGACCACGTGTTACGCCCAGGACACAAGCCATTCTAATTATTCTATAGATTAATAACAATGATATCCTGTATCCGAATATTATGTTTATAATAATATGTATCACATATAGGTATTTCATGTTCATTATATCAACAATAGGGGAGTTGAATTAAAAAAAAGGCTAGCGTTCACTTATTAGAAATTTATTTTCACTGTCTTCTCTCATTCTTTCTCTCTCTCTCTCTCTCTCTCGCTTGCTTCTGATTAACCGTGACGATTATCACACGTGTGTATTCGCATTTAACTCGATTGTTGTTATTCAAAAGGAAAAGAAACGGGATTATTTAAAAAAATTTTTTTCAGTTCCTGCCTTACTGTTTTATCCTGTTCCAAGGCAATTAACAGAAGTGGCGATTAAGGCGATTAACATTGTATCACGACGATACAATATTTATTATTTTCGATTCGTTCATCCGGTCATTTTTGACGTGATTTTCAACCATCATTTTAAGCTCGCTTTTGAAACAATGCAAAATGAACGTTCGCGTATCGTGCAATATTAGAAACTTGGGCGGAGCTATTCGTTTCAGCCGTGAATGAATTTATTGCGAGGTAACGGGCCCAGCGTAATTAATGTATTTGCGCATCCATGATATATAATGTGCATATACTCCTGTATATCATTATCTCACGTTTCCAGGGAAAGTATAGTATAGACACGCGTAAGCATCTTATAATACTTGGAAACGGTTGAGCAATGTCAAACGTCGTTGACATGCGTATCAAATTAACAAATTTACGCAACACCTATTCTGTCTCTCTTATCTCTATTTCCTAATAATCTGCGTGAAACGAGGACAGCATTTGTGAAGAGCAATCATTTCTCCATTTTCATTTTCTTGTTCCCAGAGCTTCCTGTGATTTACCAAAAAAAAAAAAATAAAATAAAAATAAACAAATAGAAAATTAATACGAAGTAGCTCACGATGATCCTTTGAGGCAGGATCGAAAATGGAAAAAAATAACGTCATACCGATACACACGGAAGTCTTGTTCTTGTTTTTCTTTCAATTTCATTCTTTCCTGGTATCCGTCCAACAGTCGGAACACGTTTTACAGCCCTTTAATTGAACTCTCTAATGTTACTGATAACAAGTTAATCATATGTACATGTACAGTTTAGACATCTGCCGTTGTAAGCGCAATAAAGACGTCTAAGAACGCTCGTGAAAATTAAATGGCTTATCTAACCGATCCACCTTCTTTTTTTTTCATTTTCTTGTTTTATTTTTTCCTTTGTAATCGCTGGTACCAAAAACACGCGCTCAATATATATATTCAATTATGTATATATATATATTAATTACCTCTTTTTTCCGTTTAATTATTGTAAGCTTTGAGCTGGGGCCTGCCTGCCCACACGTGTGTTAAAACTTACTATACACCGACGAAAACAATATTATCATAGCAAACGCTTTTACAGAATCACTCGGCCCGGTATACGAGCTCACGGTCCACGGAACGATAACGATCGCATCTTTGCACTCAGAAAGAGGGTATTGATCCGTTCTTTCCTCTTCTATTCGCGAGAAAAGAAGAAACACGACGGAAAATACCGCTGAATCGCTGTGCTCGTTATGCGGAATCGATACTATACGTACCACGTTTCGATTCGATCCATCATGGCGGATGAGCATTTCACGCCGGCATCGAATCACGTTCAAATGCATATTGGCACGATCTTTCGTGCGTTTTGACTAGAATCGAGAGCAATCTTCAATTGTCGTTAAGTCTTTACCTGGTGCGTTTGTTTCAGCCTTTGCAGAAACGAATTCCTTGACGATTTACGTTCCACGTGTTCGACATGTAACAATGTAAACAATGATGTCGTGCGTAAGAAAGAGAAGGATCGAAAAGAAGAACGTAGACGACCGTGAGCACGTGTCACGGGTGTATATGCATGTATATATATATATATGTGTATGATGCATGTATGTATGCATGTGTGTAATGTGTGTGTTTATGTCGTCACCGCTTACTTACACTATGGAGGTTAGAACCTCGTCTTACAAAGCTTATTACTTACACAATTTCGACGAGTCGACATCGGCTTAAAAGAAGAAAACGCAAGCGTTTATTGGCGAACGAATGAACTAACGATATAAACAAAAGAACAAAAGAAGTAAAATGAAACAAGGAAAAAGATCGAGGAACATTAAGACACGTAAAACTCGTTTACACGCTACCGCTACCGTGGATCAAAAGAAACTAGTTCGTCAACGTATTTTGCTTCGATACTAAATACGCACGTTCATAGAACACGTACAGGTCTACGAACATAAACGTTTAGTCTTCGTGTTTACAGTCACGCTTCCGATGTCGCGTCCACGCACCCGGAAGTGTGCTTCCTCGCGCGCCAATTCGTTCGAATTCTCGATTGGTGCGTCGTCTTCTACGACGTGTCTCGATTCACAATCGATTATGCGTCTCGATGTTCGTCGTAATTTATTGGCTTTAGCGTTAAATCACTATTTTTGGCATTCGATCGAAAGTATTGAAATAGCGACGGACATCGATAGGAGACATTCCACGCGTTTATGATGGAGAAACGACGGTATCGCGAAAAACTGCGAAGCGACATTTTCACATGCTTCGTTCAAACTGTGGATGCATACATAAGGTGTCCCATTGTTTCTCAATCAAATTTCGTTAATATATTGTATAAAGACAAAACAAAAAATATATGTTACATAGATATATTCTATTTGAAACTTTGTTAAAAATAATAAATTACGATAAAAATAATAAATACGAGAAAAATAATATTTTTATATTTTATTTGCAGGTTATTTTAAGAAAAAAAATAATCTGATACTAATGAACTAATCAATGAACTAAATTGTACTTCGTAGGGTAATAATTATAACCAATACCTAATAATCACACTGATCGTTAACTTATTCTTAACCCGTCTCATAGTAAACGGAAGTTCAAACCACTTCCTTTGCGTTTTGTATTTTTATTCTAACTTTCGAATAAAGCTTCAAATAACGTATATCTACGTAATATTTTTTTGTTATTTATATCCATAGAATACACTAACAAAGTTTGGTTGGAAAAATTTATGACACCCTGTATATATTATAGATATAGAGCGTTCATGCTATACGAAACTTAGTTCTCTTCTAATTTTCTCACGAATCTCATCCACGTGAGGAATTATGGTGACTAATAGCGTGAACACCCTGTATGTATATGCATAGAAATATATACATTGTATGGCAGGTTCGATTGCTGAATAACGATTCAGCATATGCTGAATGAAGCTGAGGCAGTTAATATCGCGTGTATACATGTGTGCACGTCACAGCGTCCCTTTGTTGGCTTTTCATCGTCGCGTGGCCTGCTAGCACAGTTTCTTTCGTCCAGACATCTCGCGTTTACCCGCGTTCTTATTTCCCGTGATAATGTGTACTGGGTACTAAAAACTGGGACGGGTTGAAAGTCTTTCACGAGGGTTGCGGCAAAACGTCGATTGCTTTACCCTAATCTTTTTTCCTGCGTTTCATGTCTTTGAATGCAGATAATTTGTAGAATAGAATTTCTTAACTTGAGAGAATTTTGTTGTTATAATTGCATTTTAAAATTGTTAATCTGTTTTCTGATTGTATTATTGTGTGAATGCTTTGTTATACAGCATGTTTGGAGTGAAATGTAAGTTAAATTATATTACAAGTTAATAGAACAATATTTTTGCTTGTATCAATTAATTATTAATAAAGTGTAAAATTTTAAAAATTTGTGCAACATTGTTCTTTATTATTTTAAGTCTTACTGAAATTGGAATTTTATTTTACTGAGAGACCTGAATTTTTTGCTCGAATCAATTAGAACATTGTTTCATAAGTAAGTTAACATTAAGAAATTTCACTACTTTTGTGGTAAAAATAATATGCTGTAGATACATTAATAATACCATTAGCATTTATGTTAAATCTTTGGCAGCACTTATATATCATATTTTTATGAAGATGAATGAAAACGTATCTTAAGAATGTTATCCTAAATTCTCATTAAATTTGTACATGTTTAATTTCCTTAGCTTTAAACTTCATATGAGTATTTGGAATTCTACTTTATTACCCTGTTAACGAGAATTTCAATTTTATCTAAAATTTGCAATGATTATTTTAGTAGATATACATTTGTATCGCTAACAATTCTTTCTGGTAAGTATATTTTCACATAGAAACATCCATCAATTTCCTTTAATATTAATTATGCATCATAATTCCAGAAAACAAATCAAACATCACATAACAGAATTGGATGGTTACTTATTACATTCAATAAACAAACAGTTCTCAAATTATTGAATGAAAAGCCCAGTGAAGAAATGGTTCAACTGCTCTATTTTTTTAAAAACACAATATACAAGATACAAAAAATCCATATTATGAATTACCAAGCTTTTAACTATAGTAATATATTTACTTACAGTCATCAATTTTAACATTTGGAAGCATACAAATTTTTCTATTAAACTTCAACTTCACTCACAATTATCTCAAGCTAAAGATACTGTCACTTGTTCCATTTTCCCTCTGAAGTCATCAAACATGTTACAATTGTTTCGAGCAATCTCTCTCTTTGTCATCTGTTTGTTCTCTGAACGCAGTCTTGTACAAGACCATCACGCGCTAAAAACGCGACAATCAAAGGCGATTGTCTCCAAACTCTTTGTCCCACGTAAAAAGCAGAACGTTGTCACGTACACACGCTACCTCACAATACCTCACGTTGCCTCATGCTACTTTTTAGTCATCTATCTCGCGAGGAGAGTATGCGCAGAACGGGTATTGCTCTTAGCCGTTTTAAAGATGTAAAATGTAGGACTACGATTTGCACAGTTCGATACTCGTTACAAACTAATTGCAGACTAGCAAAGAACAAGGAAGGGGGGTGTGTACTATTAGATGTCTATGTGTTACGTGTACGTAAATATGTACGTGTACATATGCGTGTTTATGTGTGTGTATGGATACAGGAAAAAATGTTACATATCGTTAATTTTACATTGGCAAAACGTAAAATCGCCACCGTTCGATAGGGCGTTATTATTATATTTTTTTTTCCTTCTTTGTATACGTCTATATATGTAGAATGCCTGTGTCTAAAGTCTTTTCTCTGAATTTATCCGGACAAATAATCGGGTAGGCGATTCTTCTAATTTTCTTTTTTCTTTTTTTTTTAATTTCTCCTTATTTCTCTCTTTCTATTTTTTCGATTTGGCATTAGGCAGTCAACGCGACAGGCACGTCGCCAGAAACAGCGAACAAAGAATTGTTTCGTCGTTTCGCGATTTTTTTTTTCTTCTCTTCGCAGCTAGATCAAAAAGGAAGAAGTCGAAAAGGTACGTTACTGCTATACACGCCTATCGTTTAAACGGTTACTACTCGTTTGCTCGTGTAAAATTCATTTACTCGCGCTCTTGCTCTCTTCATTTTCTTTTCCCTTTCTTCCTAACACAATATCAACGTCAGTTTCTATCGTTTCTCATGATATGACTTTTTTCTTTTTTTTCTCCTACAGACAAGAGGGATTACGAATGAACGATCGACTCGTAACGCGCGCTAGATCGTTGACTTTTCACAGTGACAAAGGGAAACTAAGTAGTTAATAGAAGTGATAAGGGAGAAACGCACGAGTGCGTTTTCTGAATCTGTCTTTTCACCACGATTCTTCATCAATCGTGACCACGTGTCTCGATACTATGGTATGGGAAACGTAATCATCCGATACGTTTTCAATATCCACTGTCCATGTCTTTTCGACGAATAATTTGCATTATTCTCTGTCTCTTTCTGTCTCTAATGGCTAAACAATAATACTCTATATTACACACCGAAGTCAGGGGTCAGAAGGTGGTCTAACAGGAATAAAGTATTAAATAATAAAATCTGAAAATAGAGTATTTAAACTACAGCAGCCTGGGGCTAAAAGTCTATAAAATGGAATACAAAAAATATGTCGAAATCTTAAACGAGAAAAGGAGTATAATAACTAATGAGCTATTCATCATCATCGTCATCGTCGTCATCGTCTTATTCTTCTTTTCTGTTTTCTTTCCTTTTTTTTTCATTTTTTTTCTAGTTTTTGTTTTGCATTTGCATTTCGCTTTATTTTTTTTTTTTTTTTTTTCCAGAGAAGATTCTTCCGTCGAAATTCTCGCTCGAATTTGCGAACTATACACGGTCATCTTTCTCTAAACAACAGGTTTGTGCGCTAAGAGAAATGTTTGCCTGTATCACAGACTTCTTTCGATAACGTCGCTGTATGCTCCATTGCTATATGCGATCGTATATAGAATACACGTTAATTAAATAAATTACATAATTTAACGCTAACCTCTGCTCGCTACCTTGCGATTTAGACGAAGATCTATATATCTTAGCAAATATATCAGTTCGACTTGCAACGAAACCGATCGATTTTCCTATGCTCGGTCTTTAAAAAATCCTATATGTACACGCATCGAGGGAGGGAATAGGGAGTGAATACGATTCAAACGATTCTCATGTCATGTTCTCCCATTCTACAGAAAAATCGAATATCGTATCAGACGCATGCTCCTGCTAGGATATCGTGTGTTCGAAGAAACACGCTCTCGCACAGTCTATGGCATTCCCATAACCAACGAAATCCATCATCATCGTCATTATTTATATTAATTGTAATACGATATGTGTTAACCACGTTTACCGCTGTTCAATACATTTCAGTCTGAAGTAACGATTGCTACTCGCGTACTCTTGGTAATTTTTACGCAAGAAGAGCGTACCGTGGAACAATTTTCCTGCTTTCTTTTTTCGAAATAAAAACGACAAACTGTAATAAGGAATTGGAGGATGATGAGAAACAAAGTGAAAGACTAATCAAACAGAAAGGCAGCATTCGGATACTTGCCTGTATCAGCTCCAATGGCTTCTGGTTTAAAGCAGCTGACTGTCCATTGTACAAACTTGCACACTATTGCGTAACTATGTTTCTTTATCGTGTTTTCTTTTCGGTTTCGAGGATTTGATGGTTATCGGGTTTGCGCGATAAGCTAAGCTGATGATCCTAATTGGCAATATCCATGAACACAAACGAAATCTGGCAAAATGTCTGGCCTCTGGCGAAAACGGGGGTAGTGTTTACGTGGGGTTGGGAACTTGCTGCTGAGGATTATACTCCAACATGGCAATCGGAAACGTCTTGATGTGCGTCTGCCACTGCGCCGATAGTTGGAAGAATTTCACGCCGTACCACTCGGTACCATCGATGCTCACTGTAGACAAACAGATTATCGTGGTAATATCATTTATCATTAAAGTGTCAATAATTTCTAACTAATATCTATCGCAAAGTTTAACAATTTTGTATCCTATATATCATACTGCTTTTAATTTGATTATAATAGTATGCAGCTGTTGTAACTTATCTCCAGGAAAGATATAACGAAGAAGAACACGAATCAACATATTCTCAAACATTCAATACAATCATGCCAGTTCTCACAACTCGAATATCTCATCACCTCTTAATGGAATGTTGTGAGTCTTTGCAGAGCATATAAGTCGCGTCACTCCATCGACCGTTTGACTCTTTGGCTCGTTTTCCTTCTCTTTCTCCTTCTTCTTACCCAGTCTCATTACTGTAAACGAAACAAACAGTCTTATAAAACCTTTCTCGTAGAAATGACAGTAAGAAGTATAGTTCTACAAAGAAAATAATACATATTTAATACTTCAGAGTAACGAGAAGTAGCTTCTAAAGGTCTCAACCAAGCTGATATTAAAGCCAACCCAACTCTGCACTTACTTTTCTGCTTCTTCTCCTTTGTGGTGTAGTTCATAGACAAGTAGTGACCAGGAGTCTCGCCTAGAGGTGGAAGTCTCTGGACGTGCAGTGCCCTGAAGGCCTGTCTCAATGTGTTCTTGCCCTTCTCACCTTGAGTCTGTTTGCTCCAATAATCAAGTTGTAACTCGACTGGTTCCCAGCCTTCTCTGGTTGGCTGGCCAACGTTAGGGCTGCTGGGTGGTGTTAACCTGCCTGGAAGTGGAATAGGTAATCCAGGGGGTGGCAGAGAGGGTGGAGAACCTGACATGGTCACGTTGCTTTCCTCTAGGTCGACCGACGCTGAGGAACTGCTGTCAGGGCAGCCCACGCGTACGTCGTTTATGAATGGGATGAAGATTTGGCTGCTGTCGTCTGTTTCCCTGTGAAATTAAAGCGGAACGGTGTTTGTTAACGTAACGAGATTGCGTGGATCGCTTGTTTAAAATTAAACTCCTCTGCTTTTGAGCGGAGCTAAATTTGTTCCCGTTTGTATCCGTATAGGATTTTAAGATTCACATGACTGGTGCTAATGACTCGAAGATAGAGTCTTTCCTGGCATTCGGAGCTTATGTAAAAATAGGACTACTCGAAACTCTTTTTCTTTTTTCGTGAACGAACAATAATTTTTATTTCTCGCTCTACTTTTCTGACAGAAGGACTTAAATATCAATAGCAATTCTTGGTAGCAATAAATATCGGATCGTTAGGAAGTTTTCTTAATTATATTACACTATCGATCACTCAAGCATTTACAAACTTGTCTTATGTAATCTACGAAGACACAATCTTTTATTCCTACTTCCTCGTTTCAAAATAGAAGAGTGATGGCTAGTTTATAAAACAGAAGTTTTAAAATAGATTCTACTCTGAAATTGTCTTTCTCTGTTTCATTTGAATAAAATCAAATTAAGTGCCATTTAAATTAAACCAGATACTAAGTTGCCTGTATAATTAATTTCCCCGAGATTAAATTCACGAAACGTTAAACTATCAATTTCCAGCTTCCAATTACGTGTCTAATAATTAGAGATATCCAGCAATAACAGGTATAATAATAAAATTGTGGTATACAGGAGAAAATCAATTGAACCACCAGAATATCTTACCTGTACGTAACCATGGCTTCCGCAATGGGTAGCAGCAGGGTTGTACCAGCCGTCGTCAAATACTCCGACACCCTAGCTGCACCCTCGCTTGCGCCACCACCCTCTCTTTCCAGCAGTTCTTTCCACTCGTCGCCGAATAGCATCGAGTATTTGGCGTCTATCGAGCCGAGGTACTTGGACAACGTGTTGGAACCCAGAGGTACGACGAAGAATTTCAGGTAATTTTGTGGTCGAAAACTTAGGTGATCCACGTAATGGCGCAGCACCGCGTTCACAAAACTATCTCCGCCAGCTATTACTACTTTGATCGGTGCAGGCGGCTTAGCGGAGCTGTTACAACTGAAAACAGAGCAAGTATTTCAGAATTATTTAAATTGGATATTTAATTAATTATTGGCATTCCATATACAGAATTTTCCTGCTTTTAATACGTTGATTACAATGGAGGGTCATTAAAATTAGGAATGGTGATGGATGACGATGAAATCATAGTAAAATCATAGTAGAATCGTGGTACAGCTATAGAGGAATTATAGCAGAAAACTGTAAAATTTTTCAGTATTGCTTTCACTATAGATACTACTTTGTTATCATCATTTTTTATTACATTTTTGATATTAACTTATGAATTGATTATAGTAGAATCATAGTAGAATCATGGTACAATTATAGTAGAATTATAGCAGAAAATTGTAAAATTTTTCAGTATTGCTTTCACTATAGATACTACCTTGTTATCATAATTTTTTATTACATTTTTGATATTAATTCAGATCTTCATATGAACATTGAGCACAATATTCCGTAGTTTCTAACATCCTGCATTCGCACACCTTTTCGCAAGAGCCAAAGCTTTCAACATTTTCACATTGCAATGCGATTATCTCACGTAAGTCGTCAATTGGCTTTCCCCGCAGTTACCGTAAGATTTAGTGTCGACGCCAATTGACGTGTCCCGTCGTTAAAGTGCTAATGCTACAGTAATGTCAGGTACTAAACTCACCATGGAATGCTAAAAAAATTCCATTCTTTGCTACGTAATTATGCATTACTCTGTCGTATGTGCACATTGTAATATATTACGTTCAAATAAACATCGACACCTGGGTACGGTGTGCAGGATAAAACAGTGAACACGTTAATGATCATACGATGAACGTAATAGAACGAGATTTTGATTAGAGTTCAACACGTTCTCTGGGGAGGACGCTATTTGACGGTTTCGCTTGTTTAAATATGTGAAGACGGCGCCAGTTGGCGTTGTCATTTTGTTTCGCGTTTCGTTTATTAACACCCGTCCTGTTCGTTATGGAAAGAACACGTGTTGTTATAAATAACTCAAGAAAGGTTCGGTGCAGGTGTTACTTATAGCTGTTTTTAATTTAACGTTTAATTTACTTTCAGCACCTGCACAGCAAATGTAATATTCCGATGATCTCATTGAAAAAATATGTGTCGAAGAATCTTCTAACGTGATTAAATTTATTCAACGTGATACATTTGTCAAGTGCACAACAAGGTATAGAAATTTGGTGATGTATTTTATTTGTTTTTATCGAATGCTTGGTATCTTTTGGTCCTTCTGTTTCGTTCAACTGCAACGAGGAAAACGTTATCCTTCCTTTCAGAGGCAGATAAAGCAATCTTGCAATAATGTTGGAATATTTAACGTGGAATCAGCGTCAGGTGATAAATGCTCATGCAGGAGATATTTCTTCCACGGCATCCTTTGGTAAAATGAGTTACGAAGCATTGTTTAGAAACTGTTCGAAACGAAAGGTATTCCGAGGAAAAGAATTACGTTATCTGTGGATAAATCCATTCTCGGTTTCTCTTGGATCATGGCCAAATAGGATTCAATCAAAGTTCAAACCAAATTACCTAAAAGTTTTCTTCAATTCCGTCTAATTTTTATCCCAATCTGTAAACAAATTCGATCTTAGTCTTTCTTGCATGATGACCAAACAGGATTCGATCATCATTCAAAGGTAGTAATCGAAGGGTCCAATTACCTAAAATTCTTCTTCAACTATGTTTTTACGTTAATGAGAAAGAAAGGGTAATAATTACAATTTTTGTATTCGAGTGACCAGGCACGTGAACGTGGCACGAATGTCCGCGGGTGAAGCGGTCGTCAGGACTCTGTGGTTCCTCTCTTGAAGTCTGGTGGCCAGCACAGCCGCACCTGGATCAGCCAGCGACACTAGCGACACAGCATCCGGTAAACTGTCATCCGGCAAAACCCGGCTTAATTGCTCGACCAACGCTTTCCTCGGCTGGAACAATATGTACTCCCGTTTAATACGCGTCCTGCATGATATACGAGCGAAATGTTTCAGCACCGGGATCACGCCTGTTTTCGCATGCGAGTGGAATTAAATTCTATCTTGGGCAATAAATTTAATACCCGGAGAATTTATGCGTTCGTTCGAATCGCAAATGGAGGATTGAATTTAAACGTCCCGCTCAATTTTCAACTATTCCTCTTATGCATCCCGTGAACCGAGTCATTTCACTTATAGGGGGTGGAACTAGGCGAACCGAGTGTGAAAGTTAAAAATATAAAAATAGTTTACCTTTCAAATTGCATTTGAAAAAGTCGATAAAAATTTGGTATATTAATTTCTTTGGTCTAATCATCAGTAATCGAGTGCTATTCATTTGATCTGAACCGAGTCATTTCACTTATAGGGGGTGGAACTAGGCGAACCGAGTGTGGAAGTTAAAAATATAAAAATAGTTTACCTTTCAAATTGCATTTGAAAAAGTTGATAAAAATTTGGTATATTAATTTCTTTGGTCTGATTATTGGTAATCAAGTGCTTTTCACATTTTATATGAACCGAGTCATTTCACTTATAGGGGGTGGAACTAGGCGAACCGAGTGTGAAAGTTAAAAATATAAAAATAGTTTACCTTTCAAATTGCATTTGAAAAAGTCGATAAAAATTTGGTATATTAATTTCTTTGGTCTGATTAACGGTAATCGAGTGCTTTTCACGTTTTATGTGAACCGAGTCATTTCACTTTTTGGGGGTGGAGCTAGGCGAACCGAATGTGAAGATTAAAAATATAAAAATAGTTTATCTTTCAAATTGCATATGCAAAAGTTAATAAAAATTTAGTATATTAATCTCTTTGGTCTGATCATCGGTAACCGAGTGCTTTTCATTTTCTTTGCTTTTGTAATTCTTTCATAATTTAATTAATATTCATCTTGTATCCTGGAAATGTACTAAGTAGGTATGTACATCCATAATACCTTATTAATTAATTAATTAATTATTACACGGAAGTATTTCAGCCTATACTCGTTTTAGCTAAAAATAGTATTGGCAGGACAAGCCCGTTATACCGAAGAGATTAATCATATTTGACGTTTATTATTAATTAAATTAATATTACCTCCTTAAGGAGTTAAAAATTTGAAATATAGAGTAAATTCTATTTGAAATATAATATAGGTACAGTGATTGAATTAATTTTAAGTATTCTATGCATCTAGATAAGGGAAACAAGTGGGGTCTCGACTCAGCTGCAGAGAAGATAGACAGATGGTGTTGGGACTTAATCCACTGTCATCTGTTAGGATTATTGAAAAGTCCTGACGCATCCATCATTGTCTTAATGGACAATGACGATCGTCACAGAACTTTCGTGCTATATTTTGTTCACCAGTGACGTCCATTGCCTGACACGTTAACATCGCACCATACGTAATTACTTATACTTTCGAGATAAGGATTGTGTTTAATAATGCTTGAAACACGCGACTTGTTTCATTTTACACGTTTCAGTCGCGGAATTGAAAATTTTACCGACTCGATCCTTTTAATGTAAACTTCGATTCATTATCGTTATCTCGCGAAAATACAAAGCTTCAACGAATTAATCGTTTTCCTGATAATCCGGATTAACACTGAGTCTACCGATAATTTATGCAGCCATTTTTATCGAGTCGGTTGAATGACTGGTCCATAAATAAGAGTTATATCTTTTGTAATTGGATATAGATAATAACCAATTTCCTGTGAGCAATAATAAAGAAATAAAATCGTTTTCAGATTATCATTAAAGAAATTCATTTCCTTATAGGTGGATTTCATTTTTGTAATTTTTCCACACTCTCTGAGAAAAAGAATATTTATATGAACAATGATAACGAAAGAAGACACAAATTTTTAGTTAAGCGAGACAGAGAATTCAGTAAAAATAAAACAAGGAAAATTGTGAATTAATGTAGATTTAAAACCAGCTTCAAAATGAATTTTAATTAACAAAAATCTGCGAAATTATAAATAAGCTGGACGTGTATAGTTTCTGAAAGTCTCTAGGGTCTATTGGTTTCGTAACCTAATCTCGTTCATTTAATACTTCGCTTGATATTCATTATTAAAAATCTACTTTAATCAGTCTCAAATCCTCTAAATTATAAGTAACCTGAATGCATAATTCATAAAAATCCCTACAGCCTATTCGTTTCACGATCTAACTTTATTTATTTGATACTTCACTTAATATCCATTATTAGAAATCTACTTTAATCAGTCTCAAATCCTCCAAATTATAAGTAACCTGAATGCATAATTCATAAAAATCCCTAGAGCCTATTCGTTTCACGACCTAACTTTATTTGTTTGATACTTCGCTTAATATTATTAAAAATCATTATTAAAAATCTAATTTAATCAGCCATAAATGTTCCAAATTATAAGTAACCTGAATGCATAATTCATAAAAATCCCTAGGGCTTATTTGTTTCACGGGCTAACTTTATTTATTTGATACTCTGCTTAAAATTCATTATTAGAAATCTACTTTAATCAGCCACAAATTCTGCAAATTATAAGTAACCTAAATGCAAAGTTCATAAAAATCCCTAGAGCCTATTCGTTTCAGGACCTAATCTCATTTATTTAATACTTCCAAGTTAATATCCATCATGTGAATAAATTATTTCATAACCTCCCTATTCTTTTACTCAATTTCTACATGATTCTAAAAAGATAATAAAGACATTAAAACATATTCGTAAAGAGATCGTCTAACTATAAAATTCTCCATCTAACTCCACCTAACTATAAAATTCCCTTAACCCTAGATTTCTCTTAGTCACCGGCAGTCTACTGTTAACTATCGCATTTCAGACCAGACCAGCAAGCATGTCACCACCAGTGAACAGAGAATGCAGTAACGATCGTTTCTCATCTACCTCGGAACTATTCAAGTCTGCTGGCGGCTTCAGGTCCACGCTGAGGCTGTGCTTTTTAGACTTGTTGGTACCCGGTACTCCTCTGTCGCGGGTAAAAAGCCTGCTCCGTTTGTCGGTGCTCTCGGTCTTGTTGTGCTGTTCCGACTTCGGCGGCGAACCCGTCACGTAATTCGGCGGATCGTTCGCCTCGTGGTCTGTCCAGTTCTCCGGGTGCGAGTCGCTGTCAGCTCTTCGGGAACTGTCATCGCTTTGCCTATCCACGCCGCGCTCTGCAACGAAATTTCATTACTCCACGTCGCGGCGCATCACACATCCTAGGAATCGTGCTAGTTACCGATCGTAAGTCCAGACCATACTTTTTTACAATTTTTCATCATTTTTTCCCATTTCTCTACCTTTCTATGGAGTGGAGGTATCAGAAAGCGAGTGTCGAATTTTTATTAGAAAAAAATTCGAATTTTTATGGGAAAGCAGATTTAGTACGAAACTGATTCGTGTATAGGGTGTAGCGAAAAAGGATTCACTATTTTTGTGGAGTTGTAGTTATTGAGAAAATTAAGATATGGTAAATTAATATAAGTTTTTCAATTGATCTTCATTTGTAGCTATTTGAGGAAATTTTTGAGATTCTAAAATATCGTACCATCTACTGTTCCAGTAGGGATTTTAAACCTAATTAATGAGAATTAAACAATTTTTTTTTGCATTGGAAATTAGGATTATTTGAAGAATTTTCTATATTATTAGTATTTATTTTCTACCTATTTTTATTTTTATATTAATATTTTGATTCCAGGATAGTTGTAATAAAGGTAATTTTGGTGGTGTTTGGTTTAATCGATTGAACTCGAGAACTAGCTGGAATAGTGTTGTTAATTGGGTTTCCTGTTATTAGATAATTTCTGCATTATAATATTACCTATTATTAATTATTAAGCACTTGCTTCCAAATAAATTAAATCCTAATGCGATTAAATTGTATCTGCACTAGATTTCGGTATTAACACGTGCAACTTTTATTTCAATTCCGAGGAATCATTTATCATCGAATTTCCGATTTGATAAATTATCCTGCAAAATTATCGCATATTCGCGAAACGATACCTATTTACATATTAAACGGCGAATTATAATATCCGTTCAAACAATGAAGCATTAAACTGAATTTGTAACACAAACACACGAGGCGTTAATTACTTCTATCGATATCAAACAAGAAATGACCTATACTATAAAAGAACGAAACAATTTCGTATAATTTTCCACATATGTAAAACCGAAATTACCTACTGTCTTTTATAAACAATTAATTAATTAATTTCCAAATTTCTATTAATTTCAAATATAATATTGCTAAAATATTTACCGATAATTGATGAACATTTAATGATAATTATTTGTCAAATGATTACGAAAAGCGCATAATTTGTAATCAACTACCGAATGATTAATTGAACGATGAAAATTGAATTTTTCGATTATGATGACGAATGAGACAAGCGTAATGGAAACGAACAGGAAGACTTCCGATTACTTAGAATAATTGCTCCACAGGAGTGAAATAAATTAGAATGAAACTCGAGTTTGTTATTTCAATGAAGATAAAGTAAACCAAGTAATGAAATACGCTGTAGAAACTCTTGGGAATGAGAGTAGCGTTACTAAAGAAAATTGGAAAATGCAATTATCTCGACGTTGCTGTTCTTTATCGTTAAATCTATTCAATAGGACAGTGAACGAAAGGATTAAACTTATTTCATTTAGAGAGCTATATTCTGCGGATCATTTAACAGAGTGCGTTTCTTCTTTGGAATAAAAGTTGCGTGTGTTGAGCACAATGCTGGCTGCCCACGTCTAACAATGTGGCAATTTATGAATTACATTTCCTTTCATTTCACACAAATTACGCTATAATGATAACGATATTAATATATCATTATGAAAGAAGCTCATTCTTCGTGAAACACTATATTGGAATTCTTAAATATTAACTATAGAAGAGAATTACTTTGAATTCTCCTATTTTAGTTACAAAATTTTGAAAATTAGAAGCTTCAGAAAAATATTCAGAGGGAGTTAAAAAATTATTTAACAAAATATTTAATACTTAGTATAATATAATTTAATATAGGAAAACAAGAAGTTTCATTCTTAACATAGCTACTAAATATATATATAACATAATATATCATTATAAAAGAAGATTATCCTTCGTGAAATACTATATTGGAATTTTTAAATATTAACTATAGAAGAAAATTATTTCGAATTCTCCTATTTTATTTACAAAATTTTGAGAATTAGAAACTTTAGAAAAATATTCGGAGGGAGTTAAAAAATTATTTAACAAAATATTTAATACTCGATATAGTATAACTCAATACAGGAAAACGAAGAGTTTCATCTTCAGCATAGCTACAAGATATGTATATCATTATGAAAGAAGATTATCCTTCGTGAAACACTATATTGGAATTCTTAAATATTAACTATAGAAAAGAATTACTTCGAATTTTCCTATTTCATTTACAAAATTCTGAGAATTAGAAACTTCAGAAAAACATACAGAGGGAGTTTAAAAATTATTTAATGAAATATTTAATACTCGATATAGTATAACTCAATATAGGAAAACGAAGAGTTTCACCTTCAGCATAGCTACAAGATATATATAACATAACTATCATAAATAATACTATATATAACACTATCAATTGATAACAGTATTATCAATTGAAAAATCATTTACTTTATCGTTTCCATCATAAACAAGCCACAATTCTATATCACAAGTGCATAAATAAAACAATCTATCTATTTTCCTACCCATCCTGCAAATCAAAGGACAAAGAAAAGTCGAATGAATAAATAAATAAAGAAAGAGACAGATCACTCTTACCCGAGAGTAACTAAATTTAAACAAATCAATTTGCTCTCGATCCGTCAATTACGGTCTGAACTTTACGATCGATAACGTACGCAGCAATCGTGTGATCGATTAACTCGCAGAGCAGTAAAGACACAAGGAAGAAAGAGAGATAGAGAGACAGAGAGATAGAGAGAGAAACGAGTCTCTAACGCGTTCAAGTGAACGGTTACGCTAAGGTACTCTACGCGTTTAATTGATCGACGCAATGGCTTGATTGGATAGATTACATATATATGTATAGAGAAAGAGAGTATGTGAGAGAACTTACTAAAACGTATCAACATCAAAGGATACACCACACGAACCACGCGCAAAATGCAACGGGCAACACAGGCATTTTCTAATCGAGACAGTCGAGTATGTCTTTTAATATTTTTTCTTTTCTTTTCTCTATTCATTTATCCTCTTTCACTCGAATAAATCATCTCTCGTGTCATTTTCTATTTCGCTAGCAAACATCGCAAGCCTTGAGAAAACTCTCACAATCAGTGGAACAGTGGGTACGTGGCGCGTTAATCGGCACAGCGACCAGAGAAAGAAATAAAGAGTTAGTAACAGAGACAGACATAAAGAAAATGGTAGTATAAAAAGAGAGATACGTACGTATGCGAGTAGATAGATAGAGGCAGAAAGAGAAGAGGCCAGCGGACAGGAGATTTTTGGTGTTACGATTTGCTTTGCTTTTTTCTTTCTTTCGTTTTCGTTTTTCGTTTTCTGTTTCTTTTTTCTCTCTTTTCTCGCGTTACACTCGCTAGGTACAAAAAGCCGTAAAAATAGAGGCACACAGACACACGGTATTAATCTCGCGAGGGAACGATCGTTAACGATCGAGCCGTGACCTTTCTTTTCATTTTTCACCACTGATATCGAAAGCCCGTTTTCGGCGTGTCGCAGAGAAGCAAAACAAAAATCACTACAAAAGAAATCGGATGCCAGGTAAACGTTTATTTCCATCGCATTCTCTTACAAATGTGTCATCGTCGTTCTTACATCTGTGCTTTAACATCTACCGAGATACGTCTTGCAGAGTGTCTTTGTTCTGTTTGCTTCGTCCATGCGACGCAGGGATGACGAAAGTAGAAATTTTTAGGATTATTTTGTTTCTATTGACAATTCAACGAAATTCGTCTTTCGTTCCAAAATTAATTCCGAAATTTATTTCTATTTTACACCACATTTACGGAACCCGTCAATTTGACTTTATATCAGAGACTGTTAATATAATATATAATTGTTTTTAAATTAAACTGATTGTTAAAAAAAAAGACACGTGATTTCCTTTGCCTGTCAATTTGACAGGTGTCCTTAGAAATAGGTATATAAATAACGTCCGTAAACCTAGTGTTAAAGAAGAATTGTTTTTCCAGCTTTTATTATCCCTGCGTCCACAGCTCTAGTCCAGGGTCAAGTTGAGAGGTCATCGAGGGTGACTCTAGATTTGGTCATACTTACAACGAGAAACACATTGGACATCGAATCAAATCGAACGATCATTGCTAGGAACGCTCTATATTGCGAATCTACGAGCCATCTAATTACCGATTCATATCTTTCATCACGAAACACCAAGCTTCTGCCGATTAGCAAGAGGTCATTCATGCGCTTGAGTTCCTTCTCCAATCTACAAAATTGCGTACACCGCGATATGTATTCTCAGTCTCTTGCTTGGATACGCTAGCTAGCTAACTACACGAGTGATTGATCGTTAAGTGGTACATTTTCTCTGCTCTTCACGGTTTCCGTGTATTTAAAAATCGTCACATCAACGGGGGAGTGAATTTTCGAATTTTCCTCGGCTAGTAGGGTGCTTGGAATAATAATCTTCGAAATTTTTGATAATTAATTTGTCAAAGGAATATGATATTTCGTATAGGTACGTTTTATTTGAGAAGGTACGTGGATTTTTAATGAATCTTCTTAGAGTGATTCGAATGAGATAAAAGAAAAATGTGTCACTGGAAAATTGCCAACCTGTTTCTAAAAGTTACTAAATATTATTATAAAAAGAGAAAAAAAATAGGAAATGTGTATAAGAAAATAGTGTGCCTAAAACATATTTCATGTGACAATTTGAATGATCAATTCCATTGATCCTATAATTAACTAAAAATATATAAAATATATTAAATGTAAATTCTGCAAATTATTAAGTATATAAATTAATCTGATAATTTATTAATTTATTATTAATTCTATTACCCCTATACTTGTAAAAAATTATTCCAAGAAATAATTAATTATTTATTTATTAATTAATTCTACCAATTCTGTAATTGTCCAAGAAATATAAAGTACCCAGATATATCATATTCCACCTTCCAAGCACCTAAACCATTCTAAAAGCTATCACGATACAAAAAATGAAAAAAAAGAAATCAGCATCAATAACAATAACAACAAATCATCCGTGATACTCGTTTCCGAAAGATCGTCGCGAAAAAGGGAAACTCGTCGAAAGAATAAAAAAAAAAAAAA